AAGTTCGAGTAGATATTTTGCGAGATTTCATCGTGAGAGCAAAGCTGTGTGGAAACGGGTCTAAATTTAGAGTGGGTCTGTCTTTGGCACCTAAAGTGGAAATGCAAAGGAATAAGTCTGCGTGAAGGTACCCTGGCAAACAGACCTTCTGTAAGTGATGACTGCAGCATACTTCAGATCGAATATATAAAAAAGTATGGAAGGTGGAAATCCTTAATCTGAATCTTCTTATGTTTTATGCCGGTGATATATGTGTAAAAGTGTGTTTGCTATGTATTTGAATTTAAGAACAAGATAATTTTTGGGATACAAGAGCCTCCTATTTAGGCTATCAAAGTTTGTTCTTTTTTTATACAGGAAATGTGTTAAAGTTTATCTGAGATAGGAAGATCAAGGTGGCGTGACCTCTGGTTTACTTGATTTTCGTCGCTTGGTCATATTTTCGGGAAGGTATTAAGGAAGATATCCTATACTGCATCATTCATCCTTGCTGTCGCGTATTTTTATAACAACGCAAAACTGATTAGGTAAATTTACATTCAAAAGGAGTGACTTTACTTGACATTATAAAGAGTTTCTTAGAGTGGCTAAGAATGGCCCTTCCCACTAACAATACCGACTAAGATACCGGTGAAATATGAGGGACTACTCACTCAACACTTTGATGTTAGAAGAACGTATGGCAGCAATGGCAGTACGCAATAAATTCCTATAAGTCTCTCTAAAAACACGATCAAGTTGCAAAAACGTTGTCAAATCAACTATAGTAAGATATAATGATGGATGGAATATTTCAGTAGCTAGGCTTGGAAGTGAATCTAGACGCATTTTTTTCTTCTTTTTTCTCATAATCCTTTACTATTCCGCTTTCCTTTAATTTTCATTCCTCCATTGCACACATCTTCTCGATGGGTTGGCTGCTGGAGCCTCTTCGAACTGTTCTACAACTGCACAACACGCCAATGCACAAGAAAGACACCATCTAGAGCAGCACTGGCTACCTGGACGCCCTCTTCTATAGGAGTATGTGGCTCTAAGTCCTGCACATACCTGCTTAGGTCACTATGAGATGAGACAGTAACCCTCGAGGCCTCTGCCGTCAAACAAACAAGCGCAAGCCCGAGCCTACAAATAGTGAGATAAGGAGGCGAACGGACATGCCGAACTGACCATATGACAGACAGCTTCCTGAAGGTCTTACATAATGAAGGATATGGACATTGCCAGAGTAGAGTAACCTTGAGCCGTTGGGAGACCAGATGCGGGTTTGAGATGATCAGGGCCGTTGGTGAATTTGGTCATCCGTTCATTAACTCTTTAGATGTGAAGGAAAAATAATTTTGCTGATAACGGATCCTTCGGATTGGGTCCATTGATGGATATAAGCGAGAAGCGAGGCATGCAGAGATGTAACAGAGACAGAGAGATGGAAGCCTGTATGAATATGCTGGAATAGAGAGAAGGGAACTTCAGAGCAAGGAAGGCGAAGGGGAGAGGTCGAAGGATTGGAGTACAAAGGACTGAAGAGTGCGTGCTCATTGGTAATTTCGAGCCATCCCAACGATTTTACATAGCGACAGAATTGACTAGCATATAAATCAAGAATAT